TAAAAATCAATGTAAATAAATGTGCACAAATGTGATACCCTAGGCAAAAACGGCAACTTTTTACAAACTACACTTTAAATGGCTAAGTTCTTAGTCCAGTTTCTTCAATAATGGCCCTGGGTGTTTGCTTCGATAACAAGTTATCATTCAAAACCACTACAATGATATAATATGCAGATAAACCTCGATGTTAGGTTTCATTAAACGCTGGTGAAAGGAGTTTAATGATCTTTATGTCTTAAAATCGCTCTACACATGCCTGGTCCGTCCTCATCTTGAATATGCTTCACAAGTATAGTCATCCTATTAGGATATACATATTAATGGGATTGAGTCTATTAAAAAAAATTTTTTGAGGTTTGCACTGCGCCTTCTTCCTTGGAAAGACTCCATAATTCCTCCACCTTATGAGCACAGGCCGAAATTAATTGACTTACCCACACTGAGCAAAAGATGTGATATTGCCGATTTGTTATTCATTTTTCAGCTTATGAAAACTGACCTAATCTCTCCCGACATTATAATAAAATTGTGATTAACTCTAACTTTAGGTCTCGTTCCCGGATCTTTTCATGGTTCCCAATTATGGGAAACATAAACCTGACAGACTTGACTTTTCTTTGAAGAAAGACACGATCAAAAAGCTTCTTTTTACTTATAGTTAAGTATAACCCTTTTTTTCTATTTTAACAAATTCTTGTTTTAGTTTTTAATTGTTTATATTCATATTCAATTGAGTATTAATACTAATAAGTTTTATTTTGTATAATTTTTAAATTTAGTTTTTAAGTCTAAAATTTGTTCTGTCTAAAAAATATGTATATGCATTCTTTAATTTTTGTTATTATTTAAGTTATGTAAAATGCCTTAACTAAATATAAATAAATAAATAAATAAATAAATAAATAATATTTTAATCTTTCTTTATTCCTTTTAATTTTTTTATTATATTCAAGGGTTATTTTCTTTTTGCTAGTCTATTTTCGTTTTATTAGTTTTTTTCCTTTTACATTTTTTTTCTAGAAAATTTCATAAAAACTATAAGAGACTAATTTGCTATGAAAAATTATTATTATTAAGGAATCAAATATAACATTGTACATATGTAAGTACTTTTGCTTGGTACTTCTTAGACTTAAATGATTTTACCGAAAAATAGTACAATAAAAAGTGAAAGTATGATTACTTTAAATGAAAGTGATAAAGAAATGATTTTAAACATTTTGAATCTGAATTAGAAAATTTATTTGCAACCGCAACATCAACAAAATTAAATTAAATTGATCAAGTCGGTGAAGCATTTCAGGAAATTAATGTAAGTAGTGAACTTTTTGAGAAATCTTTCAAAAATTGTAGCCAAAGGTCAAAACAATGATATGAATTTCGAAAAAAAGAAAAAAAATGTGAGTGAAAGGCAAATTTATGATATCAATCATAAGTTCGTACGGATATAAAATCGTGGAAGTATTTCCAAATATTTATTATGAATTCATAATGTCAAAGTTCGGGAATTTTTACGAAAACATTGCGTCCGAATATTCATAATAAATGTGTTATTAAAAGATAAAAGCAAGTAAAAGTGTTTGAGTTAGTATAAACCGATTGAATTATAATTAATTATCTTGATATTAAGTTCTGAGATATTCATTCTGAGTTTAAAAATTTGTTTTTTAAATGTTAGCTTTTGCTAGAATTAGCATTTATTGTTGTATACCAATTACTCCAACCTGTCAAACCACTCTATAGAAACTTCACGCATATATCTGACTTATAATTTGACACAGAACTAAGTTTCATGAATTTAATTTTAATTATTTTCACAAATATTATAATTTTGCTTTGAAGCTGTGAGGCAGCTACCCGAACCTGTCAGGCTATTCCACCAAAACTTCAGGATATATCTAACCTAAAATTCGACAGTAAGTTTAATGAATCTATCATTATTATTTTTCCGAATATATAGAATTAACATTAAATGGAAACCATTAGGTTTTGACAACTAGCTGTACACAAAAATTTTACCCATTTTCGATGCCCTAAACCATGACATAATTGCACTCTTTGCTTAATTACCTTGTTTAAATAATATCATTTGAAAAGTATCAACTGTAATTAGACTTATCAGCGGCACATATTAACTTTAAATAATTTTATTTAAATAAATATTAATATTTAATAAAAATTTTTATTTTGTAAACTTTCCAGGCCTTATTTGATGGATGAAAAATCGTTTGTTGTTTTTGAATTTTTATCATATTACGCTAAAGCTAAAAAAATTTTTTGTCCGTTGCCAGTAAACTGGTAAATTGAAATATTTTTGAATATTAGTAAAGCTATTGTATACATTGAAACAGTTATTCCAATAACTCGGTTAAATTCGGCATTTAAACGACGTGTTGTGTATTAAACTTCAACTTTGACAAGTTTTTTCGCTTGTTCATTTAACGAAACTAAATGACAGCTTCACTTCACGTATTGACGAAATATTTGGAATGCTTTGAGTTAAAAAGAACATAGAAATAAAACATTGAATTAATGTGTGTACATACGAAAATAATGCTATAGAATTCATAAAATTCACAATTTATTAATACTTGGCAAGAATTGATGTTTATTTGACGATAGTATTATATCGAACTTAAAGTCCTAGATAATTTTGATAGTTGGGAATTACTGATAGTATCGATAGTGCCATTGATAGTTCTCCACCTCTAAGATCAATGATGATTATATATATGTTTTAAAAATTAATTATTTAGCATGTTACCAAATTATTAACATACCGCAAAAGAAGGGAGTTTATAAGGCTCTATAGTTTAAAATAATTATTATATTTTCACAAATTAAGATTCGTCCCCAAAATTTTCTGGGAAAATTGTATCTACTAAAAAAACATATCTTAAACCTCTTTCGATATTGAAAAATTTTTTTAAAATTTAAAAAAATATCGAATCAGATAACTTCGTGTCGGTTTTCATCCTGAAATGTTCGAATTTAATAATGAATTGATACGTAGAACATATTCCAAAATTTTAATCTTACAACAGTCCATCTATGCTCTCTTTAGTAAGTTTGAAAACTAATTTTTAGTTTAATTATGTACATATCTATTATTCCGAAGTTTAAACTTAAAAAAAAATTCTTGATTTAATTTTTTATTAAGGAGAATCTTTTATTATGCATTTAATAGCGTGAGAACAAATTAAGTTGAAAAAATCTTGATTTAATTTTTTATTAAGGAGAATCTTTTAATAATGTATTTAATAGCGTCTGAATTCCAGTGAAAATTCTCAAAATCCAGAATCTTTGCGACAACTGAACAGAAAAGTCCGAATTTTAGCAACCACTATTGAGTCTAGCACTAAGGAATCCTTAAATTTTCCTTCTCTTCTTGAAAAAACAATATTCTGTTACAACGTAGTCCTTTTCACTTCAACTTACCAATCGTTGATGACACATCAGATCTATTGTGTCACGAAAATCGAGTCTTTGCCACATTTTTCTAATCGTATTGTACAATTATATTTACTGGATATTAACAATTTTGTTTTCGGCAGTACTTATTTTAATACAAGCTTTTGTCTATTATGCTCGATCAAAAATTCTCGAAAAATTATTTCCGTTTTTTATATTTTTCAGTTTAGAAACGCTGACATTACACATTATGGTTCCAATTTCAGCTATCTACTCTGATTTCCGTAATATCATAAATACATATTATTATAATTACATTTACAAGTACGTTATTCATAATAACGTACTTATAAATTTTCTTTACAAATACGCAAAAAAAGCTTTAGAAGGGAAATAAAATTATTGTACAAATTATACAAATTAAAACATACATACATACGTCAAATTATATACATATGTAAAATTCAAATTTTTATTTTCTTTTTACAGGTTAATAAAAGTATGTACCCCTTTAAAAATTTTATTCTTTTAAAAGATTTTAATTCCTGAAAAGTTTTTATTCTGCAACGTTTGATTTATTTCAAATGTAATTATGTACATAATATAAAGTTAATGATTTGGGTGATTTCCAATTTGAGTTGTCTTTATGAAGTTTTAGGGAGTTTGCGTTTTTAAGAAACTTTGAAGTTTTCACTAGCTTAGTTAAAAAATGTACCTAAATACCGATAAATCGATATTTCTTTTAATCTGCGATATAAATAAATCGTTTTATGCTTATGTCTCCAATAAATTTTTTCGCTTGATTTACTTGGAGATTTTTTTAGAAATTAACTCCAAGTTCGGTTTCCGGATTTTGATAATTTTATCGCTATTTTCAATTGGCACATTTTCACTCGGTTCAATCCTTAGTTCATCAATACTTAGCTTCCGGAGGCGCAGCTGCAGTTGAAAAGCACGTCGTCTAACCTCTTTTTGGTTTGCGTCAATCCTGCACGAAAAAATTCTTTGTTATTATGTGGTAGTTTCTGTATCGCTTAAAATCTGCAAGTCTCTTTTTTTTATTGTTTCCTCTCTTTGGTGCTGTTTAAATTTTGTATACACAAAATACATCGTACGAGTAATATAGTTTCGAATTCTTCAGTCAAAATTACCAGAATATTGTATTATAAAAACTTAAAATAAATTTGGTCATACTTTATTGTTAACATTTCGCGATTTCAAGAATTAGTTGGTGAATCAGTAAAATACATCTCAATCTCTGAATATAAGTTTGAGTTAATTTAAAATTAAAACTTCTATATTAGTAACTAAAAATTGAAACATGCAAGCATACTTAAGTGCAAGCTACTTAAACTGTTATTTAAACCTCATCTTTTATTGAAATTTAAAAATTTGTTTTTCAAAATATGCTTGTAAACTAGTGAAATAAAAATCAATTTACACAGCCCCCGGCCTTCGGTTATTTTAATGTTACATCTGTCACAATTTCTTTCCGCATGTATTATAACAAAATATTTATATAAACATTTTAAAGATATATTTTATTAAAATATAAGTTTAACCTACATTATTTTAAAATTTTTAAGGGTGCTGCCAAAACAGTTAGCGGTGCTTTAGAAGGTAATGAACCAGAATTCTACAATCTAAGTGGTAAAAGGTGAAAAAAGGAAGCTCCTAATTTTAAGTTTGGAAATCGCACATAAGAGTACTCGTAGTATGTTTTTATTTATAAACATTCCTATTGTACATTCAGTGATAGTTATATTATTTTTATAAATACTTTTCATGAAAATTCTGTTTTTTTCGTTTTATAAGAAATATATTCAATAAATCGGAAACATTTTTGTTTATTCAATACCTTTATTACTTCTTTATTAATTACAAATGTTTTTGTTAAAATATTTTCATAATAATTAAGAAAAAAAAGTACATAATATTAATTAAATTAGTATTGGAAATAATTATGTTGCTATATTTAATTTTAAGAGAGTGGTGTAAAGTACTTATTTATTGTAAATTTAGGATATAATAATTTTAAGGTGTTATTCAAATGAAGTCATTACAGAATAAATGTAAATATAAAAGCAATGATATAAGTGGACTTAAATACAAAATATATTTTTAATTAATCAACTTAATTGATTTTTATAACAATCTCCAAAATATCTCCAAATAAAAATTTTAGGGAAAAATACAAACTATTTTAAACACCTGAAATCTCGAAATACGGTTGTTTAAAAAATATCTTAATAATGAAAAACGTTAATAATATCGTCATTCTTGAAGGTTCGTAAATTAGAAGTTTAGCATATTATAACAGACACAATTTTTATTTGCAGGAGGCTGTTTATAACGTACTTTTCCAAAAATTTCAATAAAAGGTTACAATATTGTAGATTATTATGTTAAATTATTTCACATTATTTAATTGATTGAAAACTAATCTTGCTGTACTGTTATTACAAAAATAGTCGAGTGTGCTTGCATTGCAAGCCTTGCAAGTATTATGTCTGTTGTTTTGAAATTCTATTCTTTACGTGAGATATTGAGAAATTTTTGTTTCTCCAAAAACTCAGCCGTAATATATTTAAAAGTTAAAATTATTTCAATTTTTCGAACCAAAAATATGTGAGACCATTATATTTTCAATTATTTTCAATTATATTATTTATTTCTCGATTTGTGTCTCTAATAATAACGTAAAAGGTATCATTTATTTCTTGGTTTGTGTTTCCAATTATATAAAGTATAAAAGAAAAACGTGGCTTACACGTCAGTTCCTATGTCAGATTTTTCTGGGACTCAAAAACCTATATAATGCCTTTTGTCCCATGTCTATAGCCCTCCTAGAACTACCTGTACTTTTTGACACCTGAGAAGTAGGTATATATATGTATACTAGTCGTGTGTGCTTGCATTGCAAGCCTTGCAAGTGATATTTGTGTAGTTTTGAAATTGTGTTCCATTCTGTGTCTGAATAAAATAATAAGGTAAAACTTAAAATAAGAAAAGCTCTTAAAAATAATTACAAAAAAGTACATAACTAAGCAAAAAATTAATTCTTTTAGATGTTATATTTTTGAGTAATTTATTTTAGAACTTCGTTTGTGTGTTGCATAAAATCGTAAATTATCTATAATAATAATATTTTAAGCGACCTATTACTGTATACACATAAAATAATTCGCTACTCAAATCCATGCACTTATGTATGTATTTGGATTCTATAAAACATGCGAATAAAATGCGTAAATGTATAACTTAATATTAATTTAATATTAATAATGTACAGGGTGGTTCGTATAATGTATGAAACACATTTTTTAACACATTTAATACATTTTACTGACAAAACTATCAGAGATAGAGGAAATTGTTATATAGGTTTACTTTTAGATCTTATCTAAATTTGCTTTAGATCTGAACAAAAAATAAAGTTGGGTCAAACCAATGGTTTGTATTGTAGCACTTTTCCCTTCAACAAGTGAAAATTCTACTTTTAAATATAGTCTATGATTTTTTATGATTAAATTATTTTCATTCATATACAAAACTATTTCTAGGATTGCATATATTTAGGACGATGCATATATGCAGTCTTTGAAATAAAGCAAAAATTAATTTAAAGAGGGGTTAACATAATTTTCGATTTTAAGGTTAATTATGTAATTTAAGAAAAATAATTATAATTTTTAATGGCGTGGAATTTACCGTTAGCTTTTTGCGTTTATAGAAATTTGAAAACGCTTGCAGTTTCGGAAATAGAAGGCGATAAAAATTCAAATTTTACAAATTTCAAGAGGTGATAACTTGAGAGGGGGTGGAGATTGAAAAAATTTTCTTCTAAAGAAATGAACTATTTGATAGTATCTAAAAGATACTTCAATTTCTATGTGCAAATAAATTTTCAGCTTTCTATCTTCAAGGGTGTAAAAGTTTTGTCAATATGTTCACGGACGAACGGACGGATGGACAGAGTGAAACTAATAAGCACTTGTACTAAAAAGAAAAAAAAATTAATAAAAATTTTCGAGAAATTTCGAGTTTTGTAAAAAAAATTCTGACTTTGACGACCTCTTGAGAATTATGGCTCAGATTTCTATATTATCTCGAAAACTATGATCAATCAAATTAATTCTAACATCAATAATAAAGAACAATCAATCACCTGTATGACAAACTCCTCATGATTACTCTGTGTTGTACGGTTCAGAAGTTATAAGCATTTATTTATATGCAGGAAAGGTCCGGTACCTTATTTTTTAACCCACACAATTTTTTGGTGAAAATTTATCAATGAATCATTCCTGAAAATATTTGCCACCTTAACGAAACACCCTGTAAAGCGATTTCTATGCAAAAAGTCTCAGATTCGAACTCTGAAAAACGTGAACTGTTACATGAAGTTTTTTTTATTGATAATTACCGACCTTATTGTGTATACAATAGGTAGGTTATGTGATGGCAACAAATTTTGCATATCGAGTTTTCGGTAGGAATGCACTTCTCCTTAGTAGGCAAGTGTAAGTAAACTATTTTTAGCAACTTGTCGGTCCGGCGGTCTGTCGGTCTGTCGGTCTGTGTGTGCACGAGTGTATCTCAAGTTCTGCTGAACCGCTTTTGATGAAATTTTATATGTAAGTTTATTTCCACCATGGCACGTGTTAATCAACTTTTGGTATATATCAGAACTCGGGAACTGCACTTTTTAGCGGGCCTGTTTTACATTTTTGAACATTTTGAATAACTTATTCAACCGATGTACTTGAAATTTTATGTGTAAGCTTAACTCGACCGTCCGCAAAAATTCTCATTTGAACTTAAATTTTAATTTAAGTTCAAATGAGAACAAAAAAAAAATCTGATGTGGTCAGCACATAACCGACCGCATTGTGTATTGTCTAGTTAAATGGAAGTGTTACAGAATATTATAAAAATGTTTGTTAAATACTTCTTTCCAATTTTTAGGACATTAGTAAGCTTATAGTTAACATACCTAGAAAAATGTAAATTTGGCTCTTAGCAGAGTTTCGTAAACTTATATATAAAATTGCATCAAAATCGGTTCAGCCGAACTTGAGATAAACGCGTGCACACACAGACCGACAGACCGACAGACCGACAGACCGACGGACCGACAGGTTGCTAAAAATAGTTTACTTACACTTCTCTACTATGGATAAGTGCATTTGCACCGAAAACTCGAAATGCAAAATTTGTTGCCATCACATAACCTACCTATTGTATACACAATACAATCGGTAATAAAGCATTTGCATTCAGATGTCACAAAACATATGTTGGCTTTGAAAAAAACTCACATTTATCTTTTTTGCGATTTTTCGAATTAAAAATATGTGAAATCATTATATTTTGTAATAATATAAAGTATAAAAGAAAGACGTGTTTTTGTTACACAAAAATTTTTACAGAAAATCTCAAAATAGGGCTCTGTCGTGGCTAAAAAGTTCCAATGTTTACCTTGTCGGGATATAAAGGCTGAGCAGGCTCAAGGACTCTCGAGAATGTACCTAGACTAGGTCTGAAACCAAAAGGTAATTGACCTCTTCCAGAACTCCTGGGCCGAATTAAGATGCTATACAACTCGTGCTGATAACCAACTTGGTTAGGGGCCGAGGAAAAAAGCCCAGTCCCGAATAGAGTATTCAGGTACCTGGCGCCCGCGGATTATTTAGCCTTGCCTAAGCATAGCGCATCTCTGCTTAGTTTGAACGGCATGGGGAAGAAAAATTTGAAAACACAAAATGAGTCCAATACTCATCAAAAACCGGAAGGAATGTAACTAAGCCAATTCCGAAAATCGTCGCTGGAGCGTCGCGTATGTCGAATTCCAGCAAGAAACAAGAAGCAAGCACTTCACGTGCAGCAAGCAGTGATTCGAAACTGAAGGTAGCACAAGACCCGCAACCTGGGCCAAGTTGAAACACAAAGAGCTATGAGAAAATCAGCCCAACTAAATGCCAGGGCGAAGCCATACTTATAGCAACAGTCAAACGGACTGGCTCAAGCCACAAGCGTTTGCCTACGGCAAGCATAACGCCCTTTCAATCCACTTATAGATAGCACAGATCATCTTTTAGGAATTTGAAAATTGAAGGAAGATTGATGATAAACTTCCTCCACATAATGAAAGAAAATCCTGAACCTTACCCTTGGTGCAGAGACTACGGGTGACATCAGATATTGAGACGATCCAAGAGCTTATAAGGCTATGCAAACCCAACCTGCCAACATCTAATCTAGGATAAAAAAATTGCCAAATTAGAGGATAAAAAAAGCGACTACAAACAGTCCCTGATATTAAACAAAGAATCGTTGGCGCACTTGAAAAAGCAGGGTCATGTCATAAACTACGGCTTCGGGACAGGAAATCGGAGGGCAAATCTGGTCGAGCGTGAAAAGGGCATAGATGATCAGGTGCTAAAGACGTAGAAGCAAAGTCGGAGCATCATTTGCTTGTTCACCACTTCTATCAGAAGCAGAAATGCTGGATGAAGCGGAAGCAACGGATAACGACATGATGCCCCTCGAATTGGAAGGGACCTTTACCGAAGTAACGCGCAGGCAGAGAGTTACCATATAGGCAAGAGGCTGTAGACATAACTCTTGCCTCTCAATGTGTGATTGGGATGCTCACGAGCTGGAAGGTTCTCCAAGAGCACTCCTTTTCTGATCATCGTTCCATACTTTTTCAATTCGTTTCCGCCGTGGTAGACTGTTGCGGAAGAATTGTAGGACTCGATTCAAAAAGGCACAGCTTGCGAGCGAGTCGCGATATTGGGAATTATATAGGGACAGCATTCAGGGTGTACAAAAGAGAGCTCAGAAGGACACAAAGGTTTTCCTGGAGAGAATTCTTAAGAGAAATTAAAGAGGTTGCAGCGGCCTCGAGACACAAGAGGGTCTTGGCAAGCGACCCAGTCGTGCCAATTCACTTTACAGCCTCTAGGAACAATTGGACAAGCTCTACTGCGGAGTCCTTGGACCTGCGGGTGGCCAAACATTTCGCAGCAACTCGCCGGTATACGGTCGAAGAAGGAGGAATCACGAAGGCTGTCGAATCGTGTGGGGGCCGTTGTCTTGGAAAAAGCAATAATCTGCAAGCTTTTCAAATCGCCTGGTCCAGATGACATAGTGCCGGCTAAATTAGAAAGTGCTACAGAGGTTATCCTTCCCTGGTTAAAAATTATATATACCTAGACCTAACAAACATTCCAAAAATCTGAAATGTTGCTAATGTGGTCTTTATACCTAAAGCTAGGAGAAGCTCTCACAACCGCCCAAAGAACCTTAGCTCTATCAGTCTAACATCATTTATGTTAAAAATTTTTTAAAAACAACAACTTGAACCTCCTTCAGCACAATATACGTACTGTGCGGGCAAGTCCACTGAGACAGCCCTGCATTCTTTTGTACGTTACATGGAGGGGTCCTCAAATAGAGGGGATTAAACCATGGCCGCCTTTCCGCATATCGAGAAGGCCTTCAATAACTTTACATCGCGGACGATCAGTGGTGCATTGATAGCCATATTGATTCATTGATCCCTGGCGAACTTGATTGAACGCATGCTGCTGGGCAGGACTATCAGGGCTTTTTGGGGGTCTGTGTACCGAACGCTCGGTGATGAGAGGTATCCCTCAGAGGAGCTGGAGCTACAAGGTGGGCGCTTACACTGACGACCTGGTGGTGAAACATACATACATAAACATAAATGTATACCTATATTTTTAAACTTCCTAACGAAACAATATTCAAAAGTATGTATGAACATATAGAATTAAATTTTTCAAATGAAGAAAAGGTTTACGCAAAAATAAAATAAAAAACTTATTCAAATATATGTTGGTACATACATTTGAATTTACTTTCATACACAATTCTGCGCTAAGCTTTATTGTTTATTTTTCTTTAATTATGTCAAATTATTTATCTGTTGTTGATAATTTCAAAGCCAAGAAGAATAAAATAAAAAAATTTAATGCCGACCGTCACATGTATGAAATGTAAGGAAGGTGTTGAGAGAGCAGAGAATTCTGTACAATGCTATAACTTTAAATGCATTCTACATCATGCATGCGCTCAAATTATTCAGAATGAGCTTCTAATTATGAAATTAAACAACACAACATTTTGATGCTGCAACTGTGCTACACAAAGATTAGAATAGTCATTATATAATATATTAAGAATAGTCATTATATGATGATAATGTTCAGAAAATTAGTAATAGTTCTCTTTCTTGTTATAATTTTATAGACTCAAACAGTTCACCAAAGTCTGTTTCCAAGTCTGATTAGTTTGTTAACATTGATCATACCATGTTAAATCAACGTATTTTACAAAATAAAACAAAATTAAGCAATGTAATATCATATGATGACCTATATCAGCTTAATTTAGAAATTAAAATGTTATTAGAAGAAAATAACAGACGAGTGATTAAGTTGCGAGAGGAAAGCATTTGTTTTTCGCAAGATAAAATTAATTGGACAGAACAAAACAGGTTAAAAAAATGTTTACACATTGTTGGTGTACCAGAAATAAATAATGTAAACATGAAACTAAAAATTATTTCACTTTTTAAGAGAAATCCTATGTTTAAATTAAAAGAAAGTGATATAAAATCTGTTTATATAAAAAATAATCGTAATTAAATATGGAAAAATAATGCAAGTATAGTTTGCGTAAAGCTTTTTTTATTTAAGAAGAAACAAACTACTTGTATGTTCAAGAAATTTAAATGGAAGAATAGAAAGCTGCGAGCGGAAATTTTTGGCAAACCATATTCAAGAAGAACAACATCGTAATCAATTAATCCCTTTCATCATATTGTACAGCTCTTTTTAATAAAGCTCGTCAGATTTGTAAAGACAACAATTTTAAATATTTATAGGTTAAAAATTCTAAAATTTATTTAAAAAAATCTGATGTGATCAGCACATAACCGACCGCATTGTATATTGTCTAGTTAATGAAAGGATTACAGAATATTGTAAAAATCTCTTTTAAATACTTCCTTTCAATTTTAAGGACACTAGTAAGCTTATAGTTAAGATACCTAAAAAAATGTAAATTTGGCCCTTAGTAGAGTTTCGCTTTGTGCTACCCGAATTCCCTGAAATGCTCGCCAGTTAACCAGAACTCAAATATTAAATTTCAAGAAATTCCATCAATTCGTTCCGTAGATATGGTGAAAAATGTAAAATCGGCCCGCAAGTCAGTTTTCGAGCCCTGATCTTTCCACAAAATTTATATGTTCATTGTTTTAATACGAGGTATTCAAATATTAAATTTCAATGAAATCGGTCAATTATCTCCCTTTATGTACGCAAAAATGTATATTTGGCCCGTAGTAAACGTCCAGCTGCTGTTGCCTGATTTCTTCCAAAAGTTAGCAATTTTCACGGACTGTCGAGAAAAGCTTATATATGAAACTTCAAGTAAATCGGTTAAATACTTTCTTCAAAATGTTCAAAAATGTAAAACAGGCCCGCTAAAAAGTGCAGTTCCCGAGGCCTGATATATCCCAAAAGTTGATCAATCCGTGCCATGGTGGAAATAAACTTACATATAAAATTTCATCAAAAACGGTTCAGCAGAACTTGAGATACACGCTTGCACACACAGACCGACAGACCAACAGACCGACAGAACGACAGACCGACAGACCGACAGACCGACGGACCGACAGGTTGCTAAAAATAGTTTACTTACACTTCCCTACTATGGAGAAGTGCATTCCCACCGAAAACTCGATAGGCAAAATTTGTTGCCATCACATAACCTACTTATTGTTTCCACAATACGGTCGGTAAAAAGTTGAAGGTGGTCGGTAAAAAGTTGAAGTAAAACGGCTTTGATGAACTAGATAATTTTGAATGTGTGTAACATTCTTTCTTGTTTACTTATTTTTGAATTTAAATATTAATATTACTAATTCAATATGATTCCTAATTCCAATGGGTATCCATTTGTCGTTTGCTACTGCTTACCTTACTTCTACTACTTACCTTAATTCAAAAGTTAATTCTTGTAATATTTTGATTAAACCCTTAGAGTTATTCAGCAAAATATTTGCAGTCTAAGAGCAAATTTTAATTCGTTGTTAGTTATTCAAAGATTTATGAATAGAAATGTGGTAATTATTATAATATACCTAATTACACTCTTAGGGCGAGGTGCAATCAGTCATATTCTTCTTTGAACGTGGCTGTATTTTTTAGGGGTAATCTCAAATGTACTTGTTTTCTTTATAATTTAAATACGAGTGATGCTTTGAAACTTGTTTGTGATATAAATGTGATATAAATGGTTCTAGTTTTACTTTATTTTGTTTGTATAGATTTTATTAGCATAGTGTTGCTGATTTTCTGCTTGATTTTTCTAATAGTTTATCCTCTGTGAAAATGAAAAATTTGATGGTATGCGGTGACTTCAATATTGATACTTTAACTTATTTTAATGATATTAAAAATTATTTGTTGTTGACGTCATCTGTTGGGTTGGAATCTCTTATATTTGAGCTAACCAGTTTTGCTTCAAATACTTGTTTGAATCACATATTTGTTTATTTGAATAATATATGTTATAAAGGAGAAGTTCTTCATTTGATGTTAACAGATCTATCTATGAGTTCATTGTTAAAAATAATGTACTTTCATGTTCCAAAATTGGTTTCAACAAATTAAAAAACTTATTACTAAATGAGTTATGACGTAATGTTTATTCTTTTGATAATTCTTCTGATGCTTGGGCTTTTTCGGTTCACCCGGGACGCTTGTATTTGGCGCACTGGTCGATGATCCTTCCGTTTCCCTTGCTGCCCTTTTCGGAGCGACTTCAGACTTTCCAATGAGTTTTGACTCTTTTGGTTGGCCTGAAGTGCTCGTCGTTGTCGCAGTGAGCGTTGGTTTTTTATTTTGTCCTGCCCTGCCGTCAGCACCTTGAGAGGATTTCCTTCCTTTAACCCGAACGGTAACACAGAAGAAGTTCAGGAAAAGTCGGAACTCCGCTTTCCGTAGATCTTCCAATCCGGAATCATCCACAGAAAAGGTGTTGGAGCAGCCCCCGTCCTTTTCCTTCTCCATCCTCAGCACCCTCCAGGAACTCATCTTGAGGCTGGGATTTTGCTTCCTTATCCTGCTTAGGAATTTGTCCCTGGGGAGACAGACGGTTGTCTCGTCTTTTGGCACGTAGGTGACGCAGAAATGCTGTTTGGGCATGTCATCGCCATCCAGTAATACGACGTTGCAACCGTCCCAAGGCTTTATCTTCTTGCAGACACTGGTTATCCACTCCCTGGTGTTTTGATTATTGCATGTTACGGATATCCATACATCCCTTTGCAACGCTGCAGTGAATTGTGGATGAAAATCCACAACTTTATTCATTTCATCCATGATGGCTACTTTGATTTTCCCCATCTGGACTTCGGATAGCCTTTCCTCTGGATGCAGAGGAAACTACATCCCGATCCCGATAAGAAGTCATTTTCGGGTTTCGTTGAGGAACGTTCCCAGGGACCTTTCCCTCAACATTGCCCTTCATCGACCTCTTTTTTGAGGACCCTGCATCAGGGGTGTTGCTTCTGACATTCCCTCTTCTGGGGATGGTTGGCCACAGCACTCTTTCCGCAGGCCCTCTAGCCTTTTCTTCTCATATCTATGAGCTTCCTCTGGAGGCATGCCATCCCTGATATAAGCTGCGATACGCCGCTTGGATGCACCAGAGAAATATTGTTTCTTTCCTGTGATGTCCAATCTTTTCAAGTCCTCCTCAGTTTGTTGGGTAATAGGTCCAAGAGGATCGTGATTATCCGTCTCAATCGGAGGCGCCGCTTTTCCTCTACTGGCACGAGAAGGAGTTCCTGCTCTGCGTCAGTCGAGAGAAGCTCTGGTCCCGCAGACCCTTGAGCACTAACTGTGTTTGTATTAATGTTGTCCTCAGTATTATTGTTGTTGTTGTAATTGTCACTGTTGTTATTGTTGTTGTTGTTGCAGTTGTTGTATTTGTCACAGTTGTTGTTCTTGTTGTTGTTGTTCTTATTGTTTTCATTTTCAATTTTTGTTCCCACGAGTAGCTCAGGAAAGTATAGTCACCCTGGGATCCAGAGTCCGCATACTAACGACTAAGCTCCCCCTTAGCCATGCATTCATCTGCATATGCTGTTCCACCTTGAATTGGGACGCCTGTCGTCAGTTGACGTATAGATATAGGGCTGAAACTCATAAAGCATGAGGTTCGGCGCGAGACTTGACCACGACATGAACGTAACTTTGATCGTTTCAATCACCCCTTTATCCTCCGCCATTACCGGGGCCCACCACTAGGAGGTGACAGTGCGGTTTTGGACCCCTAGTCTGCCCCATAGTCAGCTACGAGATATTTATTCCTACACAGGACTACTATGACTGAGTTGACACGGTCAACTCTATTTTTATTCGTTTATTGTTAAAAGTAAGTATAATATTCTTGGCAGTGATGGTCATTCAATAGTATAGAGAAAACCAAATACTGCTTTCAATAAAGAAAATCATTGGTAAAGATGGTAATGGACTGTATGAGTGCTGCTGGATTAGATAACCGGGTTTCTATTGATAACCTTATGGACAAAAATAGATAGTTTAAGACATAATTTAAAGCCAAGTGCCGAAAAACTGATTAGCAAGATAACGACCCTAAACATTGTGCAAAAATCGTTAAAGGTATGGTTTCTTGCTGAATTTTGGCAAGAAGGCCATATTGATGACCCAGACTAAAAAACATGTTATAAGTTTTTATTTTATAAAAATTTATAAAAAAAGACTAAAGTGAAATACTTATACGTTTTGTAAATCGCAACCTTTTTAAATAAGTTACAATAAAAATCTAATTAATAAAACAGAAAATTACTAATTAATAATAATTAAAACTTTTAAAATTTATAAATATAACATTACAATAGAAAAAAAAGAACTAAACTAAATTAAAGTTATAACTTTTACAACAATAATCAAAAAATAAAAAATTTTAATCATCATTAATTTATGATCAATAAAAACATATAGTGGTTAAATAAAAATATTTGGTAAAATTTCATAAAACTCATACATGCATTACTCAGTTTCACATGCAGTTAATATTCACGTTAGAATTTTCAACATCATCACAATCATACAAAATCATCCAATCATATAATTATTTCAACTTGGGTATTTGCATCATACATTCACAATTTCAGCTTCAATCAAATAAATTGCACATTCAACCATTCAACTATTCAATTGCGTTCAACTAATTATTCATCAACATTTTCAAGCGGAATCAACATCATCAATACACATCCATTACTTCATCAACCAAAAACCATCATCAATATTAAGATAAGTTCCATTACTTTCTTAATTTCTTACATTTTTTATTTTTTAAAAAAAAGAATAATTAAAATACAATTTTAAAAAAAAAAATTCTTTTAAAAAACTAAGAATAAAAATTAGAATTTTAAAAAATTACATAGTAAGTAGAAATGAAAATTCACTAATTAACCAACCGAAATCATTACAATTTTTCTTTTTAATTAAACTAAAATTTAAATCAATTCAAACATTTTTTTTACTATATTAGATACTAAATATTTTTATCATAACATACATACTTAATTTTCAAATAATATAAATAAATTTAAAAAATTAGTATAAGGCATTAGCTACATACGCATACATACATAAATACATAACACATATATGTCGTATGGATGTAATATATTAAATTTTAATATCCAATTATATATATATTACATATGATATATTTCATTTAAAATTTTGCAATATTTAGAATATAATAAAAATATATTATTTTCTTTAACATTTGTATGTATGTTTGTGTATTTAGAAAAAAAATGTTTTTTTTTTTTCTCAAAAATACACCTAGGTCAAGAAAAAGTATACCTACCATAATAAAGACATACAAACATAAATTTCCAATTATAACTTTCGGTTTGTTAATTAATTAAAATTTTTTAATAATAATTTTTCTTAGGTATTGAAAATAAAAAACATTATTAAATATAAATTACATCTTTAAATTTTTTACATATTCCCATATAAGTACACTGAAAAAAAAGATCACTATTTTCGTAGCCAAAAAACATAACTACAACTTTATATCTGAATTTGCTAAAAAAAATAACAAAATTAACAATATTTCTGCCTCCATATTAAATGCATATTTATTCTGCAGTGATATACATAGCTGGCTTGTGACATGTAAAATGTAGCTAGATTTTATGACTATATTTTTAATTGACCTTCTGAGATTCTTCATGTGTACATGGCAAACAAAACATTTCTAAAATTACTGCGGAACATTAATAATTTAGCTAAAAATTATGACTGTTTCTGCAATAGAGCATATTCAGTTACAACTCTCACTATTTGTTTGTGTAGTAATAAAAAATTGCTGTAATAGCTAAAACATATGCTGACATTTTGGTCTTTTATATAGCTATCTTTTCCTATATGCAAAATCTAGAAAGAAAATGCTATATTAAATTTGAAGTATTATTTATTACAACAACTATTTTCTCATTTTACTGAATTATCATGCGTAAGAAGTGTAGTTCAAATATTTCGATTGGAGTATACGCAAGGAGAAATTAAAAGTGAAAATTAAGGTGAAAAAAAAATTTTAAATAAAAATTAAAGACTGTAAAAATGGATAATTTTTTAAAAAATATTTTGGAAGAATAGGGACTTAGCTCATTAAAACCTATTTTTGAAGGTAAGTAAATAAAATTTACAAATTTTAATTAAAAAAAACATATCATTAAACAGAAGGTGAATATGAGTATGGAGTTATTAATTGAACATACTTCAGCTTTAATTACAGCTGAGACAATTATATTTTTTGTGATTCTGTAAAAAATATGGCCGTAAAAGCTAAAATAAAATGCTGGTAATATATTCGATCATTACCATTTGTTCTTTTATCAAATTCTCGAAATAAAATGTAACATTCTATTGTAGTGATAAACATGACAGCAATTGTTTAAATTGTTGCAAATACAAGTAAATGTTAATAATATCGTTCTTTTTTTATCCAAAAATATATAAGGGTTAGATCAGATTTTTAGTTTTCATAGAATCAGAAACAAAAGCGGACACGTTTATAGTGCGCAATAACATTTTACTTTAAAAAAATATTAAGAAATATTAGAAATTTTAAAATACAAGTATTATTTTTTTTTTATATAATTTAATTTGTGTTTTATAACAGTATAGTGAAAGTTCAACATGGTAATATATTTTTACTATTACAAAATTACGAAATATACTATTAAAAATATTAATATCGAAATTATTAGAAAAAGAGTTGAACCAAGAAGCTTTCAAGAGCTTGGAATATCGAGGAGTCTTACATTTAATTAAAAAACAAGCAATAAGAGCAACATTTTGGGCTAATTTCGTTTAAAAATATAAAAACATGCAGGTGAAAACAAATATTTCATTAATTGAATTAAATTTCTTTATAAGTAAACTGAATATAACTATTCAGTTTACTTATAAAGAAGTTCAGTTCAGAGTAAACTATTTTCAACTGAAATAGTAGAAAGAGATAGTGTTACAATATAAAATTTTTTGTCAACAAATAGTTGCAATATAACTTTGCCCATCAAGAATTTGTGCTCTTGCATGACACATCAACGGCATCTTTGCTAATTTTGGATTTATCAAGCTCAGCGCTTTGCGGAAAGTTTTTAAAACACAAACATAATTAAGCAAAATTCTCACTTAAATAGGTAATTCATATTGATAAGGATTATTGTTTAAGGAAAGAATGAAAAATATTAAATAACCAAATAATTTGATTCTATGAAATGTTTATTTTGTGTATCAATAAAAATTTAATAATAAATCAAAAGTTATTGTTATAGTTTCACTTCGTTATAATAAATTTCAGAACAGTCCATTTCATTTAAGTAATAGAGCTATATTACATTGCTTTCATAAGGATAATTAATTGTAAAAGTAGTAAAAATTTAACTCTGTATTTGCAAAAATCCCTAATTGAAACATACCTAATAGGTTGCTAAAAGAGCCACATTAGATTGGTACTAATGATTTAAATAATTGTAAATACAACAAAATTTTATTGTTGCATTTGCAATAATCCCTAGCTGCAGTATTCATAATATATAGGCACTAGAGCCAAATTACGTTATCATAAATAAAATAAATAATTATAGGAATTGTAAAACTTTAATTATATAATTGCAAAATCACTAACTGTAATACTATTAAGACATATTTGACACAGTAAAGTTACATAGTCTTGAGTGAAATAAATAAGTCCGAAAACAATAAAATTTTACGCTGCATCGACAATAATAAATGGATCTCAGTAATGAAAATGACTTGTATTTTTTAGCAGCATCAGATAAAAAAATAGCCACTAATGTTAATAATTGATTGCGATAAAATATGGCAGAAAATGCTATTTTTTCGCACTATCCCGATTTCTACCAGTTTTTATCACTAGGAGCATGCAAAACTATAGCAAATGTAGTAATATTTTTTTTTGAGTGTACGTACTTACATACGGGCATGCATATGTAGGAATTGTATTTAATGAATTTTATATTTTTTTCAATATCGAAATGTTGAAACTTAATTTTTCAATTTAATACGCATATACATATGTATGTACATTGGGGTATGCACATACATATTGTCAAAATTTAAGTGCATTGTGACATAGACATCTTTATTCTCAAGCCTCCGTAATGTACAATTTACTAATACATACATGCGGTGTATTGAAAGTTCGTCATCATACTTTTTGTTAAGAAATATATTCTTATATTAGATATTTTCGGATAAATTGCAAATGTTCATGGTGATTTTGGATGTTTGAAAATAAAAAACGATTAAATACAAAAAATATGGAGAAATTATTTTATTTCGTTTAAATATTAACAAAATTAAATTTTTTGTTCTTACAAACTAGTTACTTGTTTCAGGTAACAAACTACATAATAATAAATTACAGGAAACAAAATATTTTTCAGTTAAAACCAAAATAAAAAATACATAACAAAATTGATTTTGAAAAAACTACATGAAATATTTACCTAAAAAAATTAAATTTTTAATCAATATTTCTTAAAACTAGTAATATTTGATGAAAAAAGCAATTAATTTTATGACATAAATGTACCTATATATTCAACTAAATTTACAAAAATTTTTAATTTTCTTTTATAAGAGATTAAATTACATACTTATTTAAATTGTTAAAATCTTAACATTAGTAGGTACTTTATTAAATTATATTTGCCACAGGCAACAAAATGAAATTTAAAGTTCTTACAAATTAAAAATACTTCGGTGGCGTAGAACTCCTAATGCTTCCTAATGCTTGTATCCATTTGTCCCTGATTACTTCGTTCTTTGGCAAAAAAAAATGTAAGTGTAGCATTTACGTTTTCCTTTTCTCGTAAACTATAATATGATTACAATAGAAACATTAAAAAGTTCACTGAATCTTACTAATATATTAAGTCATTTTTTCTTTTTAAATAAACTAGTACAAGTTTTTCAAAATCTACCTTCTTTTTTACTAAATATTACAAACAAATTATAAAATTTAATTAATATAACTTATAAATCTTTATTAGTTTATAAATTTTTATCAGTTTGGTAGAATCTACCGCAAATGAAGCTGGCAACATAGCTCCACTTACTCAATTAGAAATTGATGTTATTACTGCGGAAGTACTGAGAGAGCTACCCGACGAGGCATTGGAACATTTGTTCCTTAGGCTTGGAAAGTCGCGGAGGTAATTATGGTGCCCAAAACCGGGAAATCCTTGAGGGAAACAAAGTTTTACAGGCCCATTTCACTGTAACCAATGATGTCTAAGCTTTTTGAAAAGCTGCTATTAAGGAGATTGAAGCCAGTAATAGAAAATAGGGGCCCTATACCATACCATCAATTTGGGTTTAAAAGAAAACCATTCTACAATAGACCAGGTCCATAGAGTAAAGAATACTAAAGAAAAAGGCTTGGAAAATAAAGAAATCTGCTCTTCTGTATTTCTAGACGCAGCACAGGCATTCTACAAGGTATAACACAATCGCCTTATATTTAAGTTAGGACAAATGATACCATTGCCATTTGTAGCAATTTTGAAATCTTACTTAGTTGATAGATTATTTAGAATTAAACAAGACGCTGAATACTCCACGCTAAGAGAAATTAAGGCAGGTGTGCCTCAAGGCAATATATTTGGCCCAACGTTGTACTTGTTTTACACAAATGACTTACCACAAATAGGAAAAAAAAAAATTTTGGAAGTAGGATCGAATATTGACGATTCAACAAAAAATTACGGGAGTAACAAAATAAGCCAGCGGACTACGAATTGGAAATTGAAGTCAAATGAAGAAAAATCGGTTCACATAAACTTCTCCAATCGGAAAATAGTGAACCCACCACAAAACGAAGATTAAGTCTTAAAGAGCTTTCGATTTGACACAAAATACCAATTTCCTTATGGAAGGTATTTAATTCCTGTACGGAGGTAATAGTTGGTCTGTAGGACCAGTTTTACCCGTTTAGAGCTTAGGTGATTTTTTTAGGGTAGGAGTCACGCTCCCCCACTCTGGGAGGAAAAATTTTAATAAGATCGATTTTCGATCAATATTAAAATAAATTAAAATAATTAAATAATTATTTTCCTTCTAATCAGTTTTGAATGACACTTAACATTGAGGCATTTAATTTTAAGCCAAGTGATTTTTGCCTCACAAAAAAAGGTAAAAAAGGCAAAAAAGTTTCGTTTGGAAATACATGGAAATGCCTTTGATGAACCTGAAATGAAGTGTTTTATTGCAATTTGTAAGAAGAACTGTAATATCTCGACAAATATAAATATGCACCTATTTTTAATTTATTAATTACTACTTTAAATTTCTTATTTAGATTTTGTCCGCCGTTGCGATCTGAGAATTATGAGGTCCTCGACTGTGACAGGAAAAGCTTGATTTGAAAATGCTTGAGTAAAATTAAACTAATTATTTTAGAACTTCTTTTATTATCAATTTCCATCCAAAAATTACTATAGCCTTCATTAGTAACCAACGATAAGTTCTGTGATTTAAGTTTTTTTCCTGATTTTCCAACTTCTTTTAGTGATGACCTTCAACAAATTCATAGTCTTATGACCTTCAACATGCTTTATACTAAGTTCTTTGGTATCATTTTCATCACTTTAAGTTTCATCACATAACGAAGATGAACGTTCCCATCATCTGACGATTTTTATTAATTATTTGGACCAACACAAAAATCTGTGTAAAGATGATTCTGACAACTCTTTGAACTTACGCATCCCGTAATTTTTTATCTATTATTAATTATTCACTAAGTAGCTTTTGGTTTGTTTTCAATTAATTTGTTTTGTAATTTTATATATTAAAAATTTTATCTGCAATTATTAAATTTTCAGTACTGAAAATTAGTTTTTACTCTTTGGTTTTCCCTACTGTCGGGTCAACTCAAAAAACTATATTCAAGAATCCTTTATACGTATCAAATTTTACTTCTTTTTTTGTTTTTAAATATTGTATTGCATTAAGGGAAAAAAACATGTAAATCTTTTGTTATAGTGTTTTAATTGCATGGCTTAATGAATAAAATAATTTAATATTAAAAATTAAAACAGTGTATGAAGGAAAAGGAAACAGTGTATTACGTTCATACACTGTTGTAAATTTTAGTTCAACTACAAAATGCTTTTTTTGTCAACATTTAAAACGACGTATGGAAACATGCGTTGTTTTGTATTATTTAAATTTCATAAATTTTTCAAATTAAATGAAATTAAAGCATCATACACTATTTCATTCGGCAGTGAAAATGAAAATTATCAGTTCTTTTTTCTAAAAATATAGTGTATTAAATTTTAATGTTATTTTAATTTTTGTGGAAAATTCAGGTCTAGAAATAAAGCAACGTAAACCCATTATACGCTTTTTAACTTAATGGCTACAGAGGTATAAAGAACTGAGTTTCAGAGGTATAAAGAAATTGCCGACGAAATGTTATTCACATTGATTTATACTGTAATCCACATGATTACTAAGTATTTGTTTACATTGAGTTGCTACATGCAATCTACTATTTGAAACACACAATCGCAAGAACATATATATAAATAGGTTTTATGCCTATTACACTAATTATATTATGAATTTACTAAAACAACATTGTAGTTGTGAAAATAATAAGTAATGTGCTTATTACACTAATAATTTTACCATAATGGAAATTTCTTCATACAACTGCAGAACAGATGGTAGACGTAATCAAAGGAGCGAGTTGAAAGCAAAAAAATTTAAAAATTTTTCTCCAGGAACTGGACTCGAACCAGTGACCTACCGCTTTCTAGGCGGACGCTCTACCAACTGAGCTACAGAGGCATGAAGAAATTGCCGACGAAATGTTCTCTACATTGCTTTATACTGTAATTCACATGATTACTAAGTATTTGTTTTGTTTACATTGACTGCTACATACAATCTACTATTGAAATACACAATAACAAGAACATATATATTTATAGGATTGTGCCTATTACACTAATTATATTATGAATTTACTAAAACAACATTGTAGTTGTGAAATTAATAAGTAATGTGCTTATTACACTAATAATTTTACCATAATGGAAATTTCTTCATACAACTGCAGAACAGAGGGTAGACGTAATCAAAGGAGCGAGTTAAAAGCAGAAAAATTTAAAAATTTTTCTAGTCGAACTGGACTCGAACCAGTGACCTACCACTTTCTAGGCGGACATTATACACTTTTTATTTACAAACTGTTTTTCCAACATAAATTATACACTACTCTTGTTTTTCTTTAAAAACAATACCGGAATCAATATTAAGAATTAGTTGAAATAGTTGTACTTATGAAATCAACCACGGAGAATCCAACGATAAATTCGGAAAACAACGTATACCGATCATACACTTTTTTATTTTTCAGCAGATGAAATATTCCTTTGCGGGCCCCACCCTCAAGAACGATTTTTTTCATAAAAGCCTCCACCTTTTCCACATCTTCCCACAGAGATTACGCCACGTTAAGCCTGGCAATGGTTCAACCTGCATATGTATGTAAATTTTGGCGTTACCACCTAAACTAATATTCATTTGTAAATCTCCTTGACGACATTGTTTATTTAATTAATGTTAAAATTTTCACAAAAATGTCTTTAATGTCTTATTTTGTGTCAATAAGTTACGGTTAAAAAACATATTAACATATTTAGATTCGTAATCATAAATTTATACATAAAAAGAATACAATTATTATACGTGTGTTTGTCAATACATATACATTATGTTTTGCCAATGGTATTTTCGCTATTCATAGAAACCTAGAACATTATTACTATTGTTACAAGGAGACATTCAAAATTACGTATGACATATCCCGATTAGAGACGAATAAGTAGTTACTTGGGAAATATGTACGGAAGGTATTATTGTTTTATTTTTTTATAACAAGGCAAAGCATATACATATGTTTTTGTAGACGTATGTATGCAAGTATGTATACATTTATTTGTATCTAGAGCATAGCATGTATATATTTATTACATATAAATGGCTTTGCATGTATGTTATATATGCATTAGAGTGTAAATGAAATACGTACATATATATATATATACAAATACATGTATATGTACACGATTTAATATTGATGAATTTTAATTATCAAGTTTGCATACATATTGTACAATTTCTATAATTTAAAGAATAGCGCAGGCTAATAATCATGATCGTATCAAGATATGTTTTTGTACGGACTTAGATAAATCTGTGTTAATTAATAATTTTGAAAAACGTGGTTGGACCCAAGTGGGTGCTGACGATGACTGGAATTTTTATTGGGCAGGAGTGCAAACATGTAGAAATATTTTTAGTGTTGATAGTGGATACAGGATGCATGACAATCAGTAAGTTGAAGTTATTATACATATGTTCATATTTTTGAGTTTATGATTAAAGCGGTATTAACAGTACCTTTGTTACTTCTACGGTTCTTTTTTCCAACAAGGTTTTAATTACGAAGTAATAATGTGATTATTCATATTCGCAATTTGAAGTCGCTCAATAAATAACAATTAAATACGCGTATAACGAATATATGCACTTTACATTATATACATACATACAAATAATTATATTCTTACAATATAAGAATTATATATACATACAAATAATTATATTCTTACATTTATTAAAGATTAATAAATCATTTTCCAAATCATTATGAGCTGTCCAGAAAAGATTTATTAGTCAAAAATATAAAAAGGTACAGGAAAGATTTGGAACGGGATGGAAGTGCATTAGCTGAAAAAGTTGAGCCACGAGAGTGTGGGGGATCCAAATATCTTTATTTAGATTTCATTCCAGTAACTTTTATTTTACCAGCAGGCAAGTAAATTACCACTAACTTGTAAACTAAATATAACAAAATATAATGAAATATGTACATATATTTTAACTTAAAATTGTTAATAATTTAATTTAAGATTACAACATGTTCGTAGAAGAATATCGTAAAAATCCACAAAGTACGTGGATAATGAAACCATGTGGAAAGTCGCAAGGAGCTGGAATCTTTTTAATAAATAAATTGTCAAAATTGAAAAAGTGGTCAAGAGAAGCAAAAGGATCATTTCACCCACAAATTTCTAAAGAGAGTTACGTTATATCGAGGTTGGTTTTTTTATTAATGTGTTTTTGTATTTAATATGTGTCTACGTACATGTAAATGTATGTATAATGTAATTGAAAGAACTGCGTTAGCTTAGAAAATCACAGAGAGCATACGTTAAAATCATAAAAAAAGCCTTGGTATAAAATTTTGTCAAGGAACAAGCTTCTTGTCGAACCTCACTATTTGGACACAACAATATGCAAACACATCGACCGTTCTTGCAAGAAACAACCTAAAAATACTACTCTGATCGTAGAACTTCGGCTTCTAGCACTCAGCCCCCCTGAGTCTGGCGATACAGCTGGCCGCGAGTTTATGAAACTCCGCCAGAAGTTAATGGAGAAATGTATTTATTGCGTTGGAGGGCAGTGAACTTAACACTCCAGTAACATGGTTAAGCCTTGAGTGCAACACTGTAGTCAAATACTTAATCGCTAAAATAGAGCGAAGCAAAATCACGCAGTCTGGCAGCCGCCTTTTAGTTTTAATTTTAGTTTTTGTCGTAAAAAGCCCTAAGTGTTTTTTTTTTGTGATTCAATTCCAGCCCACATTTCTGGGTCCAAGAACTAACATCAGCTCGTGATTCCTCTAAGACACTGATAATCGTTAGAAGGGATGATCACGACAGCAAGGTTGTCTGCATATCTAACCGTTTTGATCTGCCTAATATCGAGATTCACCTAACACGCGTAATGCGATTCTGGCTCCATCCTGTCCGGCAGACTGAGCTTTAGGACACGCTCCAAAGCTCTCTTGAACAGACTAATTAACAGATTAATAAAGGTCAGACTAATTGCTTTTCATGACCTTCTCTTCCCACCGCATACGTAGATAAGTTGTCCACCAATAAATGTGGAGTCTTTATAGATATTTTGGTCCACATTCGTCGAAACCCCTCAGAAAAAAGGGATTAGGGCGGTCCTTAGAAAATAACCTGCAAAATATTGCTGAGTTTTTGATACACTTCACGTTTCCACAAAAATCCTTCCAACCCTCGATTTTTTAAGAATGGTTTCGTATCTTCTAAGTCACTCCTTGTAGGATTGCCATGACCACCTCTTGCAGCTAACAGTGAAGACTTCTCCGGCCATTTTCGTGAAATTCACTTAATTTTGATTCCAACCCGGGGTTACGTTTTCTTAGTGTGTTTCAGGTAACAAAAGTTCACACCCATTACCATTGACTTGACTCCCCAGCTACTCGCAACGTGAACACTATTTTCAATATTACGCATGGTCGTAAGCTTTGCTCGTACGATTGGCTTAAATTTAACCAAATTCTTTCTTCATGAACAGAGACCTATAACTTTCTTCCCTAAAAGAGCTAAGAAGTGGTTCAATGTGTCTTTTAACTAAAATACAAACTCAAGCCTTACCTGTCTCTTGTAATACTGATTTAGTAGGGTTGTATGTTTAGCAGCGTGCGTGTCCGGGTTCGCGGCTCAGAAAATTGTCATTCTTTCCTAGAGGCTCAAAATTTCCTCTTTTGTGAGGGATAGGAAATATGCACTACTCTTCTAGGGCTAAATATCTAGGTAGACTAATAGACGATGAATTAAAATGGGGTAAGCATAATAAGAGAAGAGAAAACAAATATTATACGATATCTATTTTAATGGCGAATTAATTTATAATAGGCATATCTTATTTAGAAATAGATATAATTTATGTAGCTGGAGCCACTGGTCTAAATTTCATTTAAATTCATATTTAAATCAGGGCGTAATCTTAAACAAAGCATTAAAAAACTTATTCAAACTTAGCCATAGAACAAGTACCAAATTTTTATAAAAAATAGCTAATGAAATAAATATTAATCAATTAATATATTTTTAAAAATGTAAACATAGCTATATGTGTATAATATTTTGAACAACAATTTTATACTAAAATCAAATATAAAGTAGGAAAATATACACAATTAATACACTAGTTACAAGAGAAAACATATTCAAATACCCAAATTCAGAACCACAAAAAAACTAACAAGTTTGAGTGTAGCGCAATAAAATTGTATAACTCTTTACCCAGGTAAATAAAAGATACTAATAATTTAAATCAATTCGAAACTGAACTAAAAGAATTTGTAAAAAAGTTTTGTAATTAAATTTGTCACAATTTTTGTTTTTTTAACATGAGGTACAAGTACAAGTATTTTAACCACTTATATTTTGTGTATTAATGAATTTGTTAGTATTAAAAAAAGAATATCGAAAAAAAAATGTAATGAGGAATACACAAACTAAGCACCATGCTTTGCACTATATTAGGCAAACTTAATAGACACGTATGTATCAGTGTAACTTGATAACTATTACTCATATTAATTTTAAGAGAAATTTTCATTGTTTTTGCCATTGAGGAATTATTATTGACATGCAAGGGCTATTAAAATGAAGAAAAGTTCCACAAAATACTTTTCAAATAGAGATCACTAATTGGTAAATAAAAAACGTTAAATTAAACGTTCTTAAGAGTGTGTATTGAAGAATTGTTAATATTATTTGCAATTGGAGTGTTATTTATTATCAATCTTTATTACCGACCGTATTGTGTAAACAATAGGTAGGTTATGTGATGGCAACAAATTTTGCATATCGAGTTTTCGGTGGGAACGTACTTCTCCATAGTAGGGAAGTGTAAATAAACTGTTTTTAGCAACCTGTCGGTCTGTCGGTCTGTCGGTCTGTCGGTCTGTCGGTGCACGCGTGTATCTCAAGTTCGGCTGAACCGATTTTGATGAAATTTTATATGTAAGTTTGTTTCCACCATGGCTCAGATCGATCAACTTTTGGTATATATCAGGCCTCGGGAACTGCACTTTTTAGCGGGCCTGTTTTACATTTTTGAACATTTTGAAGAAAATATTCAACCGATTTACTTGAAATTTTATATATAAGCTCAGCTCGACCGTCCGCAAAAATTCGTATGTTTTGGAAGAAATCAGGCATCGGCAACTAGACGTTTACTACGGGCCAAAGATACATTTTTGTGTATATAAAGAGAAATAATCAACCGATTTCATTGAAATTTAATATATGAACTCCTCGTATTAAAACAATGAACATATAAATTTTTTGGAAAGATCAGAGCTCGAAAACGGATTTGCGGGCCGATTTTACATTTTTCACCATTTTGAAGAAAGTATTCAACTGATTTACTTGAAATTTCATATATAAGCTTTGCTCGATCATACGGAAAAATTTCTAACTTTTGAAAGAAATCAGGTATCAGCAACTGGGCGTTTACTACGGGCCAAATATACATTTTTGTGTATATAAAGAGAAATAATCAACCGATTTCATTGAAATTTAATATATGAATTCCACGTATTAAAACAATGAACATGTAAATTTTTTGGAAAGATCAGGCATCGGCAACTAGACGTTTATTACGGGCCAAACATACACTTTTGTGTATATAAAGAGAAATAATCAACCGATTTCATTGAAATTTAATATATGAATTCCTCATATTAAAGCAATGAACATATAACTTTTTTGGAGAGATCAGGGCTCGAGAACTGATTTGCGGGCCGATTTTACATTTTTCACCATATCCACAGAACAAATTGATGGAATTTCTTGAAATTTGATATTTGAGTTCTGGCTATTACCGAAACTAACTGGCGAGCATTTCAGGGAATTCGGGTAGCACAAAGCGAAACTCTACTAAGAGCCAAATTTACATTTTTCTAAGTATGTTAACTATAAGCTTACTAATGTCCTAAAAATTGGAAAGAAGTATTTAACAGACATTTTTATAATATTCTTTAACACTTTCATTTAACTAGACAATACACAATGCGGTCGGTTATGTGCTGACCACATCAGATTTTTTTTTTTGTTTAAATCGCAAACATCTGTATTCTCAAGACTCCGTTTTTACACAATTTACTATACGGTGTATTCAAAGTTGGTCACCATAATTATGAATTTTACTAATACAACATCATAGTTGCGGAATTAATAAGAATGTGCTTATACACTACTAATTTATCTTAATGGAAATTTCTTCATGCAACTGCAGAACAGATGAATGACGTAATCAAAGGAACGAGTTAAAGGCAGAAAAATTCATTAAAAAAATTTCTCTCCTCACACTGGACTCGAACCAGTGACCTACCGCTTTCTAGGCGGACGCTCTACCAACTGAGCTACAGAGGCATGAAGAAATTGCCGACGAAATGTTCTCTACATTGCTTTACTAAGTATTTGTTTTGTTTACATTGATTGCTACATGCAATCTACTATTGAAACACACAACAAGTAAAAACGTTTCAGTCGGTATGAACCGATTGAATTATACCCTGCACCTTTTTTCATTGTTGTATAGCAATTACTCAAACCTGTGAAACCATTCTATAGAAACTTCACGGATATGTCTGACCTATAACTGAACACACAACTACCAAGTTTCATGAATCTGACTTTATTTTTTTTCCAAATATTTAAAATTAGCTTTTGGAGTTGTATGGCAGGTACCCGAACCTGCCAAGTATTTCCACTAAAACTTCGCTAATATATCTGATCTATAATTGGACACACAACTGCCAAGTTTCATGAATCAGACTTTATTACTTTTCCAAATATTTAAAATAAGGTTTTGGACTTGTATGGGAGCCACTCGAACCTGTCAAACAATTCCACCAAAACTTCAGAAATATCTTTGACGTATAATTGGACACACAACTGCCAAGTTTTATGAATCTGTCTTTATTATTTTTCCAAATATTTAAAATTAGCTTTTGGAGTTGTATGGCAGGTACCCGAACCTGCCAAGCAATTCCACTAAAACTTCGTAAATATATCTGATCTTTAATTGGACACACAACTGCTAAGTTTCATGAATTTGACTTTATTATTTTTCCAAATATTTAAAATTAGCTTTTGGAGTTGTATGGCAGGTACCCGAACCTGTCAAGCAATTCCACTAAAACTTTGCAGGTATATCTGATCTATAAATGGACACCCAACTGCCAGGTTTCATGAATCTAACTT